AATTTCGTGCTTTCTAGGTCATCATTATGCTTGTTCTTATTTCTACCAGGTCTCTTTGCAAAATACTTAGACAAGATTGTGTAGCAACGAAGCCCCGGTATTCAATAATATGCTAGTTTTCAATCCTATTGATCGTGTTCACCCCGTCCTCCGAGGGCGCTCCAGATACCTTTCTACATGGAATCACCGTCATGAGATGACTCGATGCCACTGTGCTTGTATCACAGGTCATTTCAAGGCAATCGACTTTTCGCCATGTGTTTAGGTTCATCTATATGTCTGTCTGTCCCCGTGGCCACTTGAGCGTTACGTCAACGCGTTACCAAGTCCTTAATAAGACTGTGCAGACTGGCAGTCAACTTGTTAGGATTTTGTCCCTGTTTTGTTGGACTAGGCTGATTTGAATTCATGCGATCACCCACCTATGAACAGTTCTTCTAGTCTGATCACTGTACCAGAGCACAAATTTTAAATGTCTTCACTAAAACGTCACAAGATCAAACCGTATTGTTCCTCAATATTATTGTCCAGATTCCGGTCCTCCACCGAGAGTGCGTGGTACTTCTCGACCCTTCTATGGCCGAAATTTCAAGTCGTCCGCCATATTTTCAACCGCCTCCTGGTTGAAACAAAAACCAGGAGTAGGGTTATTCAGACGGACGATATTGAGCTTTGCGCATGCTCCGTCGAATTATTTGGTCTCTTACCGCACAGTCCTTGTTACTCATTTTCTCTATACTTCTGTTTCACAGGGGGACTCATTGTTCCAGCTGGTGCCTTTGGTATCCTCGTTGGAGGTCTCATTCTGAATCGGTTCCGTTTCCGACGTCGTGGTGAGTTTCTGCCTGGTATACTTCCCCCTTTGGCTAACTTACGTAAGCGTGCGTCCATGAATGTAATCTAACTATGATGCTAGTGTAGGTACATCTCCCTCGAAACTATGGATTCCAAACTGTTTTGGAGTAGTGAAAATACTCAGTAGTCGTTCTGCGTAACACACTTTCATTTCATAGCTGCCGTACAACTCGATAGAAGCACGAGGGCTGTGATACCGCCAGGTTGTCCAAACCTGGACGCGAACGATCGAAATTCCAGGGTTGGCTTCGAACAATGAAACCTTCAGTCAGAAACTAGCGGTCTAACTACTGAGCTGTCTTGAGCTCAAATGTGGTCACGGGTTTCTCTCTATATCTGTCAAACGTTACGGGATCTTCCACAGAAAACTGCTATTGAACATGCTATGAACGTGCTGCTCAATATTCGTGCAGACGGTACTGCTTGCAGTTATCCCAAGCTAGGTACACATCGTCCTACTACCTATCAAACTGAAGAAATTCTGATGACCCGGTAGCTCTTACCAGTTCGACGGAAGCAACTTAAAAAGCTGATGATCAGTCCATTCAAGTACCAGTGATGGAAACGGATGTCGCATCTTGTTTCTTTCAATAACGACGTGTAGCTGGTCTTGAACAGGGAGGTGAACATAAGTTGATGTCTTTCATAATTGGACGGTTGTATCATGTTTGACACGCAACTGCTTTCGACTGTTCGTCTTCTTGGGAACGCATGCAACAAACTCTGGTCGTGAGTCAACGCGATGCACCAGTAGTCCACCTCGTGACCATACGTCTGAGTAGAATTGGATCGTTCTCTCCACTCTAGTGGTCATGTTGGACAATTTCTGCTTCATTAGCACAATCCATTCCGAAGAAACGACTATTTTGGTAACAGTGGGTGCAGATCTTGTCAGTTTAGTTCCGCGAATGGTTGTTACCCTCAATCCAGGTTTGGAAATGTACCCTTCTTTGGCTGAAACGGAATGGTCATGCCTGGTTATGTTCGGTCGTTCAGTAGCATTTGTGACGTTTATTGAACACCTTTCAGTTTACCAACATTCTCTTCGGCTTCCCTTCGCAGGTGCTATCCGGTTTGTGACTGTGGTGAATTTGGTCATTATGGCCGGAATTGCCTCATTCTTTTTCCTTGGTTGTGCCAATCCCCCGGTGGCTGGAATTACCGTCGACTATCCCTCACACAGGTATGGTCTGTATAGTTATTTTTAACTTTTTTGTCTGTTCAACCGACTTGGGGGGGTATACAATGTGATCTATCAGCTGGTTTGATAAAACGTGCATCCAAGCTATTGCCTTCAATG